CCCCCCCCAACCATAAAATTATTTTCATTGCTACTTCATAACTAATTTTCTTACTGTTATGAATCGGGTGACCCCTGTGAAAGGGCTATTTGACCCCCAAAGGGGTCGTGACCCACAGGTTGAGAACTGCTGATCTAGAGGGAACTGCTAGAAATTCAAGCTCAATTCCAAAGAAAACAATGATGGATTTCTTGCTGATGACTGAGAGCAAAGAAGACCAGAAAGATATTTGCTGTGTGTCTGCTCTTACACAAGTTATATAGAGACCAGGAAGCAGTCCTTCACACCGAACAAGGTGGTCTGGCGTCGTTTAAAATCAGGAAGGTGTACATCAGAGTTGTCTCCTTTTGCCATACGTTTTCCATCTGTGTGCTGAGCAAATGTGAGAAGCTGAACTATGTGGAAAAGAATGCTTCAAGATTGGGGGAAGGCTCCTTAAAACCAGCAGTTTTCAGACTATGGTCTTGCCTGCTGAAAGCGAGACGGACTTGCACACTCACTGATGAAGATCAAGGATTGTATCCTTCGCTGTGGGTTACAGATCTTTGTGAAGAAAACAAAATCTTTGCAACTGGACCAATAAGTTACATCATGATAAAAAGATTAGAATTGTCAAGGATCCACAGTCAACAACATGAAAGCAGCAGTCAGGAAATCAAGCAGCCTATTTATTACATTGGGAAATGTTGCTGCAAAGATGCCACTATCAAGGTTAAGATGTGCCTGACCAAACCACGGTGCTCTCAGTCGCCGCGTACGCATGCAAAAGCATGACAGTGATGTGGTATTCTATGTCGGCAAGAAGGAGACAAATCTATGTTGAAAGAAATGAAGCCAGAAAGCTCCTCAGAAATTAGGACCACAGGACTTTCCCTCATGGACTTTGCTCCTATCAAGAGGGAAGGAACCTTGGAGAAGGACATCATAATTGGGAAAGTCAAGTCCCCCGAAAAAGAGGAAAGCCCCGCAAAGACATGGCTTAACAGAGTGACTGCAACGGTGGCACTGAAGGACAAGTCCTGAGTTCAGTGGCACCACGCAGCAGGTGTGTATGACACCTGAGCCACAGAACAGGCAGGGCATTGTGACTCCCACTTTAAAGGTGAAGTTATGCTCATTGTCTGGAAATTAATGTACAAAACAATTTCCCACAAAAACACTGGCTTTCACCTAGACTCAAGATTCAGGTTCCTTTAAAGGAGAGTGTCCATATATTTACAGTAAAATCTGAATTTTATGTGTATGTTCATAGGTGCACATTCAGATCTCCTTTCATTAACTCATTCATTCAGAAAGCACCCTCATGAAAGGATGAGCTGAAGCAGGCGAGAGCCAAAAGCCGTCCAGCCCATTCCTGTAGCTGCTAAATGCAGGTCTGCCACTGTGCCTTTGGGATATTCAGTTGTCACCTCAACCAAATTTAAATAATAGTTAAGACGTTTGTTCTAATTTAGGATTAAATACGTCTTCTAAGACTTTATCTTCCAATCTTTAATTAGGTTAATCTAGTTTTTATTTTGTTTTGGTGTATTTATTTAAATGTGAGTTTTGTTTATTTATTAGTGCTGTCATTTAAATTTGTTCCTAAGAATTCTTGAAACTGTTATCAAGAACTGAACACAAGCTCTCCTTGTAGGCAGGAAAATACCAACTACGGGAGCTCCGGTCGACTGTGCACTCCTGGGGAGACGGAGGAATCGGCACTGCTGCCTGTTAAATGCCGAGTAGCAGCTTCTCTTGTTAGCTCCTTGGTTCCCTTTAGGAAGGGAAATGGCCTCCACCCTTCCTAGACCTTGACATTCAAGGCAGAGAGACTTACAAGGTAGAAGTTGTTTCAGGTTTTGAAATTCTACCTACTTCTGCCTAGACTCAACCCCACACAACTTTGGTTGGGAAATTCCACTGCCGCCCTTTGCCCCACATAAAGGTCTTGCCCCAAACAAGAAGGTATAGATCAATGGTTCTTAACCTTCCTAATGCCGCAACCCTTTAACACAGAACCCCAACCATAAAATTATTTTCATTGCTACTTCATAACTGTCATTTTGTTACTGTTGTGAATCAGTGACCCCAGTGAAAGGGTCTTTCGACCCCTAAAGGGGTCGAGACCCACAGATTGACAACCGCTGGTCTCGACCCTAGGTTCCCAAACATATTTGGCCTACTGCCTCTATTCAGGAAAAAAATTACTAGCACTCCCCAGCAGCTGAAAACATTTTTACTATAGCCCATAATCCAGGATACAGTGTGGATCTGCCTTTGCAGTCCCTTGGGTCGTCTCAGCCCCCTCCAAGAGGCTGGCGTCACCCACTTTGGGAAACACTGGTTTAGACTATCAGGCATTCAACAGACTTTTGAGATCGTCTGAGGCTTAAAGTATAGAGTTTGATTTCTGAGCATTATCTGGAAGAGTATATGCAATTCACCTCCTCTAGTTTTATTCTCTAACCTATCATGAGGACTTCTATATCTTCAAGTAAATGTTTTAAAAGCATTATATGGACTTGCATGACAAAAAAAAAATCTACCTTTTTAAAGCATATTAAGATCCAAGAATGGGCTGCCTGTGGGCAAGGAGGACCTAGGATCCCGTTGCTGCAGCTCTATGTCTTATTTGCTTCATAAGTTCTTCTATTACATAGGCTTGTGGCTTTAAAAAGGTGGGGGGACTAAATATAAAAAAGAAAGCATATTGATTAAGGATAGGGTTGAACCATCTGTTATAGTTGCTATCAGCTTTTAACACATGCAAAGTTGAATTGGGAAAATGGTGTGATAGATATATTTACAATGAAGGAGGTGGGGGTAGGAGTGGGGAAAGCAGCTGCCAAAGATGCTTATGTATGAACCTAGAACCTCATGGGGTTTGGAGGTTTAGGGTGTTAGTATCATGGAATATCCCAGTTAGTTGGCCTAATAACGTACGACGTTCTACCTGCTAGTGCCTGAAGTCTTAAAAGCATGCTAGCTGCCATGCAAGACACAGTTGGTCCCTATTTACCTGGAATAACAGAGGAAGGAGTAATAGAATATAGCGTTTTGGGCTAATTACATCCATGAACAACTGCCTCCTTTGTCATGAGATTGGAAAAACTAGATGGTGTTTTTCTGGAGAAACTGGAATGCTACCATTATTACTAAACATTTTTGATACAGATCCTATAGAAAACTCCACATCAAAAGGAGGGAAACTTAGACCAGAGTTTCTTATTCTTAAGGAATCCAGATCATCTGGAATCTTGGGAACTAGCTAAACCTCTGAAAATATTGCTCTAAGATACATTGTAACCCTTTAACCAAAAATATCCCCTGAAACCAGACAGTAGTGAGCTTTAACTAGGTTGGGGGGAAAGTAGGCCTCGAGTGTTAGGATCATCGATGAATAATCTACATGGGACACATTGACCTTCTGGGTCAGGGAGTTGATTGTAATTAGGGGAAGACACTCAGAAAAGGGTAAGGCTACTTGTGAGTGCATGTGTAGAAATGGTTGAATTGGCATATGTTTTACTGTATATATTCTCAGTGCCGACAACAAAATAAGTTTTTCTGGAAATAAATAGCAACCTCTGTTGCATTATTTTAGCTGTTGTTTAATTATTGACGGTTGCATTTTACCTTTTTACCTAGGTCGAACTGGAAGGTACACCCTTATAGAAAAATGGAGGGATACTGAAAGACATTTAGCACCTCATGAAAATCCCATCATATCCTTAAACAAATGGGGACAGTATGCCAGTGACGTACAGCTCATCTTACGGCGAACAGGGCCATCTCTCAGTGAGCGACCCACTTCAGACAGTGTGGCTCGAATTCCCGAAAGAACTTTATACAGGCAGAGTTTGCCTCCCTTAGCTAAACTGAGACCTCAGAACGACAAGTCGATCAAAAGGAGAGAGCCCAAAAGGAAGTCCTTAACATTCACAGGAGGTGCCAAAGGATTAATGGACATTTTTGGGAAGAGCAAGGAAACTGAATTCAAGCAAAGGGTGCTAAATAACTGCAAAACCACAGCCGAGGAGTTGAAGAAGCTCATCCGTTTGCAGACAGAGAAGCTTCAATCCATTGAGAAACAGCTGGAATCGAGTGAGGTAGAAATACGATTTTGGGAGCAGAAATACAATTCTAACCTTGAAGAGGAAATTGTCCGCCTGGAGCAAAAGATCAAAAGAAATGATGTAGAAATTGAGGAGGAGGAATTTTGGGAAAACGAGTTACAGATTGAGCAGGAAAATGAAAAGCAGCTCAAGGACCAACTTCAAGAGATAAGGCAGAAAATAACAGAATGCGAGAGCAAGCTAAAAGACTACTTGGCTCAGATCCAGAATATGGAAAATGGCCTTGAGGCAGAAAAACTGCAACGGGAGGGTCAGGAGGCACAGGTCAATGAGGAAGAGGTGAAAGGGAAGATTGGTAAAGTCAGAGGGGAGATTGACATTCAAGGCCAGCAGAGTCTGAGGCTGGAAAATGGCATTAAAGCTGTGGAAAGATCTCTTGGGCAAGCCACCAAGCGATTACAGGTAAGCACATTTTTTGTTAATAATATATTCCATCTGTTTAACAGAATAAAAGATTCCCTTAATCTTCCTTAACTCTTGCCCGCTTTCCATTCCATTTACACATGAGAAGCCTAACTTTGCTTACAGGATTTTTAGAATCCTTGTGACTTCAGGACAGCTTGGATGTGAGATGAGGATTACAGACCCACGGACCCTTGCTCTGTGGAAGCAGGTGCTTGTAGGGTGGCTGTTGTAGCCTTAGGTAAACGGATAGAAGTTAACAGAATCTCAGTGGCCATGGACACTAATGATGAGAGAGTGACTCTGATTGATCTCCTTTTAGAGATATGAAAACCAAAGAGATTACCAAGGATTGTGATTGTATAACTGACCAACTGATTATCTCTCATTTCTCTATTGTCATCAGCCCATCTTTCTTCCTGCAATGTAGACACCCCCTCTCCACAGTACCCTCCTCTGCCTTCCTGGGGAGAGAGCCATCACTGTGCCTCGCAGTTTCCCCTTTCCAATTCATACACACAAACTATGTCTCAGCACTCCAGTCGGAGAGAGGCTGTGGGAAGTGGCAGGGGAATGAGATGCAAAGCTGCATCAGTTACCAACAGAGGAGAAAGAGTAAATGTTTAGATCTGTGCTGCCCACAATTTAATCAAAATTAACTAATCACCTCCGTCACTAGAGAAAGTTCTATTGGACAGTGCTGGTGTTCCCCCGTTTTGTGTCAATCTTTAGGGGGCCAGTCTGCCTCCTCTTTCTTCCAAGGAGTGGCTGGTGGGTCCAAACCACCAAGCTCGGGGCTAGCTGCCGAACGCTGAGCCCAGTGTACCACCAGGGTCCCCTTTTCCGGTGACAGTTTCAATTTTGGTAACAGACTTCATGGCAGGTTATGAAAAATAAGAAATGTCAACACTCATGGACCAAATTAAGTGGAAATTTGACCAGCCTGCCATGCCACTGTAACGTTGTATTGATGGGAGTGTGTAGAAATGTACTATTTCTATCAGCAGGTACCAGAGGATGTTGCTGGAAGAGGAAGCCCTCACATTGAACAGGAAGGCCTGAATAAACTATTGGTTTCCCCTGAACGACTGCCCAGGCCACAGAGTGAAGTGTGACCTCTTCAGCCCATTGTACAGTGGAAGCCTGACCTGGCTCACTGTGCTCTTGGGAAAGCAACCATGCCACATCCAGCCTTCTTGGCTGGCCAAGAGCAAACTCTGTTGTTTAAAAATTGTTTAGTCTTTTTTCATTTTCTTCTAGGACAAAGAACAAGAACTGGAGCAGTTGACTAAAGAGCTGCGGCAAGTCAACCTCCAGCAATTTATCCAGCAGACAGGGACAAAGGTGACTGTTCTGCCAGCCGAGCCCATTGAAGTAGAGGCCTCCCACTCAGACAGAGAGAGAGGTAAGACGCTGACAAAGCTGCTCCCCTTCTCCCTGACAAACTTTTCATAAACTGCGGCCCTTCAGCCAAAGGGCTCTCCCTCCATTTATAGCCAGTTCCTAGGCTGCCTGCAAAATGACTTGCTCCTCGGGAAAATCAGTAATGCTTTATTTGTCTGAGTGAGTGTGCCATCACTAAATGCAGCATTCATTTTCACTTGCTTCTTGATACAAATCGTTCCCTAAAGTATAGTTGAGCCATATGATACTTCCATTTGATTTTTTTAGCTTCCTTGTTTCTATTGCTTCCCCTTTCCTTCTTCCACTCCTAAAAGTCTTTATTGTTAATTTGTACTTCTATTTAAAAGACTTTCGGATCTGTAAATATGTAGCCTGTCCAGCCTAAGAAAGCAGCGGAATGCTGGCTGTGTAGATAACATTGTGTTGGAATCAGAACCCTCCTGTACCTTTGGGTGTAATCCCACTTGGGAATGCCGTCTCTTTGTATTGATGAAGCCAGGTCAGGGTACGTGGTGTCGTGGTGTCGTAAGATGATCCCTGTTGAGATGTCTGAAGGAGCAGATTGTAACAGGAGAAGGAAGCAGAGATCCCCAAAGACCTGCGGAGTAGCTGAAAGAGTTGAGGATTATCCCTCCGAACAGACAGGGCTTGGCTCTAGAGGTGGCACCCTGAATTTGGACTTCAGCCACCGAAACTGTGAGAAAATACTTTTCTGTTCGCATAAGCCACCCACTTGCGGGTCTTTAGTTACAGCAGCACTAAGAAGCGAAGACACTCTCCTCTGAGGAGGATCGATGAACTGTTCAAATCACCGCATACTGGTTTGTCAAATTGAGGCCATTTTCAAGGATCCGAATTGGCCTTTTCCTCTCACCCCAGGCCTCACCGGAAATGGCAGTTGTTAGCTAAATTCAGCTCCTACCTCGGGTAGTTAGGTTCTGCAGGGCAGGACACATCATGTTTCGTATTGCCAAATATGCCCAAGCTTTTATTAAACCAACTTTCTCTGTGTCCCATTTAGAGGCACCGTGCCAGTCTGGGTCCCTGAAGCGACCTGGTTCATCTCGGCAGCTCCCCAGTAACCTTCGTATTCTACAGAACCCTATCTCATCTGGTTTTAATCCAGAAGGCATCTATGTATAATGTCGTGTGTCTTTGAGGGGAAAGACACAATAAAGGTACCGGGACGGTAAACGGTTCTTCTTTGCTGCGTGCCAATGATGAACAGAGGAGAGATTTCACAAGCCACTGTCTCTGTGTTTCTGTCCTGACTTGCATACCACTTGGAGCCATACCCTGTGCACTGATGCTAAAGAACAAAGACACCGTGTGTGTTCACACTTGAGCAGTGTTGTGTCTGTCCCGCAGCTGCAATGCAAGGCCTTTGAGTTTATTGGTAACATTTTGAGAGCATTAGGAAAAGTATTATTCTTTGAGTACACAGAAATAAGAGTGACTTAGGGGTGACGAGAATTACTTGTATGTGACTGGCTTAGTTTAATTAATTCCATGGATATGTGAATGTAGATATTTTAATATTCTTAATACGTATCCTGTGGCTTAATGATAGCACATCTTGTGTGCTGATGACGGTGTGTGCATGTTACCAGACTCCATCCATATATATTTCTGATGTACAGCTACATACATGTCATAGGGTGTTCTCCACCATTAGAAATAACCCCAGAAGAGCCCAATTGCATTCATTTGCAAAATTGTCGTAGCCATTGCTTAATGAGTGAAATAAAATCTTTCCTGTACATGATTTCCAAAACACAAATGAGAATATACCAGAACAGGTGTATTCTCAGAATATGTTCATGAGGTAAATGGTATGTTTACAAGGTTTTTGGTGTTTTTGAAACACCATTGGGAAAAATGTGATTATGAATATCTGTGGAAATAGAGATTGGGCTCCCTGTTAGATGAGAGGTTTTGTATCTGCCCTCCCCTGTTACTCTCATGGATACTCTGAGTATAAATTTGTAAGGACCAGATTGGTCTGTTTCAGGAATTTTACTTTAAGTGACATGTTTTTTAAGTAACCAACCACTTCATATGTCTGGTCTATTGGCATAACCACATGGGTAAATTATTCTTGTACATAATTCACCCTGTGTAAACCATGGTGATTTCTCCTATCACTTAGACCAAGAGAAAATAGATAATTTTTTTTTAACCAAGGATAAAGTTAAATTCAGGACCTGTTTCAATTGGGGGGGCTTGACTTTTGCAGGACATTAATCTCTATTTGTACACACATTTTTCCTTAATTCATAAAGCCAAAACATGAGTCAACACTCCTTCCATGAGTAGTGACTTCCTTAAGATTCACAGTAACGTTAGACTACTGTGGTCTCACACTACTTAGCCATTTTTATATTCCCTCTGATCAGATTTTGGTACAATATAATCAAGTCTTTAATCTGGAATTTAAAGTAGTTTTTAATTCTGAGGAAAATATATTATCTGTATTATATACATGGAACCAAGTAAAAGTGTATTAATATATTAAAGTCATGGTAACAGGAAAAAAGTATATTATGCATGAAGGCATCTTTGGATGTAGTAACACATTTGACATTTTTGGTTTAATGAATGCTGAGAATGCTATATTTAGGTTTCCTATGGAAAAAAACATTGAGAATGGCTATGAAAATATATATAAGCTTATAGTGTAGTGAAAGTAACAATGCAGAGTTGCCTTTCCCGATCCAGCTAAACGGTGGACCTCAACAAAAGTGTTTTGTCTTACTTTATTTTGAGAGGGGTTCTTGATATTACCGAGTTGACCTTGTCATCATATTTTGCAAGCAACTTGAGAAATACATGTGGTTACCTGAATAACCAGGACCTGTTATGGGTCTGTTCTCAATTTATAATAGCTCTTTCATATCTCTCTATATTTGAAAATCAAGATAATTAGAAATCAAAGTATTTGTAGCATTTTTGACAATAATGACTTATAGAGATGCCCAATCTTTGCCTTACTTACAAAGATCTCATCCTAGTCTGAGAATCATTTTGTTGTTCTTAAAAATTATTGTGACCTTATTCACAAAGAAAAACATTTTTATAAATTGATCAAATTCTGTTTAAATACAAATAGGAAGCTAAAGACATTTTAAACTTCACGATTGCAAAAACTCCTTCGCGTGCCATGAAAAACACAGTCATAAAGTGCTTCTCACTATTCAACTTATCTGTTGTAAATTATTATCAACATTAATCTAATAACCTTAAAAAGGGGGGTAGTACCAGCAGTGCATCACAGCTAACCTCTGACAAGGTCACTGGAATTTTGCAAACTGCCAAATTATTCCTCATGGACTTAATCATAGGTAAAAATACTATTTCTTAGATGAGAGTTGTTTTCAGATGTGAATGTGATGAATGCATTGAGCAGCTGTGCTTCGTAATGTTGCGTTACTTCTAGAAACATAAGAATATTTCATATGCATCGTAAAATATTCTAGTCTCTTTCTGATCACTTTTATCTATTGTGAATACAAATGAGCTCAACTAAGTGCAACATCTTTGGATACATTCCAGGGAGAGGAGCAGGCAATGTTATACAAAACTACTAAATAGATTTTAATTTTTATTCTGCAAATTGTTTTATTATGATTTTCTATTAAAGCATTAAGATATTTTTTGGAACCAAGGAATAATTTGAAATAGCATCAGTGTATCTGACCTCTGAAGGATTCATTTGTCCCCAGAGAGGAGCCCATAGTAGGCTCTCTCTGTCCTTATGAGGCAGATTCTCGTTTAGTATTTGATTGTCATCGTGATGCACAGGGATTTGGTCATGCCACTTCATTGGGTACTTCTGTAACTCCACTTGCCCAAATTCAAGTTAGTCCTACATTGGAGCAAAACCAGACTGAGCCGGTAAGTAATTTATGTTGTGGGACAAGAGTTTTAAGAACAGAAAAAGCACATGTTCCCACAGCATAAATAAAATTCACACCTGCATGAAAAGAATTTTCTTTGTGAATAAGAACAGAACCAACTTTGGAGAAATTCTCATTTAAAAGCTTTTCTGTGAACACCCTTTGAAGTTATAAGTGTAATAATGGATGGAGTAAATAATACGGAAAAAGGCCAAAAAACCCAGCTTCTGACCTGCAGAGGCAGAGGGCACATTAGGTAATTCCTGGTGCGCACTGCCTTTGAAGAGCCTTGATTGAGATGTGCATACTGTACAGAACACAGCTGCATTCACCACCCCTCCTCCCTGCCGTTTCTTTATTCGTGTATAGTGTAGAAAATTCAGTTCGCATTACTTTTATATTCTGTCCAGTGGTTAAGTTGCATATTTCTACGATTTGCTGCAGTATTGTAAAGTTTGGGGTGAAGGCTGTCAGCTGTGTGGAGAAGACAAAACAATCACTATTTATTCAGTATTGCTGCTTTACGTCCGAAGAAGCTGTCGGTGCCAGCCCAGTGACTGCATGAAAGCCGCGGGAGCTCTGTTCCAATGCATTGGATATATTTTTAGAAACCAAATAAATGCAGATAACTATTTAGTATACAAATTATATTAAACCAGCAGAAATATAAAGGCAATAAAGTATATGCATATATATATATATGGGGAAGGGGAAAGATTAAAAAACAGGTTTACAGCCAGACATGATATTAGCCCTTAAAAGCATTTCAGTTTGTCTCTGGACCTTAAGAGGATTTGAGTCGCTGCAGCTTTAAACGGAAAATTGCCATGGTCATTGTGGACACATAAATATGCTTTCGTATTTACTGCTTTGCTTATGTACAAATAAAAACGTCCATAATCTGTATTATATGTTAATTCTCTTTTTTGGCCTTTCGTTTCAAAAATGTTTTTCTGTTTTCCTTACTGATTACCATCATGAACTGTAAAAGAAAGGGTTATTGTTGATATTCTCCCAAATAAATTTTCAGGATTCATTTGGGGAATTACAGTTGTTTGTATTCTGAAATTTAAAATGTGTTAAGAAACTTTTATTTGCCCAAGGGAAAAGGTCTGCATGTCAGTGACACACAAGTACATCTTTCTAAATGCATTGCCAATTATCATACCTAAAGAATTACCTATTGCCAAATGGATGTGAAAGAGAGTAGACACAGTGGAGGCCCACATCCTACCTGTAAGACAGTTGGACAGTCCCTCACAGAAGGGATGATATATCCAGGGTGCAATATAGCACTGATGAAACATAAATATTGTCCAGTTCTTTAATATTTCCACCCTTTCCTATTATGGTTTTAGTTTTACCTCATTAATCTTGTTAGACCTGCATGTGTTCAGTTGTTTAATTAAGATCGTTCAATGCATGAAATCCAAGAGATAAACCCTTCAGAAACATTAATAGGAATAATGATTCCCTGAGGGTACAAGAAGGAAGGTGGGGGGAAAGGGGGAGTGAAAGCAATGATGACTGTATAAACCTACACTTGAGCGTAACAAATACAGAATTATAGATGAACAGATACATTGGGTAGTGTAAGATATGGCAAAACATAATAATAAGGGTTCTTCGAAGGTATGGTATGGTGGGGGAGGGAAGGAGTAAACGGGAGCTGATATCAGAGAGTTCAAGAAGAAAGAAAATGTTTTTAAACTGATGGTCTCAGCCATTGTACACTTAGACTTGATCTAATTGAATTATGGATTGTTAAAATATAAGAGCTTCCAATAAAATATATATATTTAAGTTATTGACTGCTCCAAAGGTAGCTGATCCATTGAAGTGAAACTGAGTTAAATACAGTGGGCCTCTTTCAGAAGGAAAAAGAAATACTCCTTAATGAATCTCTGTATTCCAAGATTGCTGTAAAACCAGAAGTGGAAAGGAGAGAACTGAATATTTTGGTACCTGTGGCATGTCAATTTGCAGACGAGCTACATGGCACCCTTCACATTTACAGCCATCTGAGAAACTTGTCCCAAATCATTAATACGTTTTGGCTCTACATTTAAATTTAGACCTTTCTAACCCCAAAGCCCTTCTGTATATCCCATGACAATTTTACAATGCCTTGTGTCTGTATTTCAACTACTAATGTGAAAGTTAAAACATAGATTGTGGTTTTTAAGGCAGTGTATTAGTAGATATTAGAATCTTGGACAGAGTTCCGGCAACATGACACCTAAGCAAGCAGCCCACATCTGGAGCTCCATGGCAGTACATGAACCCGCTGGATGAGTGGAGGA